TCCGTCTTTTTTTTGTTTAAACAATCATAACTGTTTATCCTTAAGTCAAAAGTTAAATTTTCTTATAGATTCTGAAAGAGGACTAAAAAATACATAAGAAACACCTACTGACAATTTTTTTTAGTCCATGAATTTTGAAAATGGCGAAAGCAAATTAGGAGGAAGAAAAACGGACTTCTCGGACGAAATGGGTTAAAATTCACGCCCTAAAATTTCTTTCTGAAGTTAATTCGAAGAAATGAAAATTCCATCAATAATAAATTCTGTTACATAAATTTTTTGATTAAGTAAAAACGTTGTAGTATGAAAAATCGGTTATATGGATATTCTGTCAAACAAATGACAATTTTTCTAAAAGAAAATTCTATGCAATAAAATTCTATCTAATAAAAATTTATTTAAATGGCTACCATGTTAAATAAGAATTCGAATAAATAAAAATTCTATCATATCAAGTGAATTATCTTTTTTGCCATGTATAATTTTTAAGCTGAAAAAATTAGAAATTTATGAAAAAAAAACCATAATTATTACGTAATGCTCCCAAAAAATCCAAAGAACGATTATAACTTTTAAAAAAGTTAATGGCTCCTTATGAAGCTTGGTAATTATGTTCTTAGAGATAAATAGCATTATTTTATTGCAGAAATATACAAATTTAGAAGAAAAAAACATGTAATTATCACGGAATGGCCCCAAAAAATTCAAAAAACAGTTATAACTTTCAAAAAAATTGACGAATCATTATGAAACTTGGTAATTATTATTTTTCGCAATGAATTTCATCCTTTAAATGCGAAAAAATACAAAAAAAGAGTTACGAAATGTCCTCAAAAAAATCCAAAAAACAATTATAACTTTTAAACAAATTAATGGATCTTTATGAAACTTGGTAATTATGTTCTTTGAAATGAATGACATCCTTTAAAGACATTTTTTTTAAATGTAGGGTAGAAGATCCCAGGATTAACATAGTTTTGATTTTTGGAATTTATATTAAATCAATTTTTTATATTGCAGAATAAAAAGATTTTTTTGTTATATAAAAATTGGATAGTACAGAAAATCGATTTAATGAAAATTTTTTCATAAAATAATTCTAATAAATAAAAATTCGTCTTAACCCTTTAAGGACCAAATGTACAAAAATTTTGCCTAAAGTTTGGCAATTTTTTAAACCAACTAAATGTATTATGAAAAAATTTGCAATATACGTTTCTTATGGTCCAGGAATCGCTCTTTCAAGTGGTGCATCTAAAAAAAACTGTAAATTTAAAATTAAACAAATTACAGATAATTATTTATAAATAAACATGAATTTTCAAGGTTTTTTTTACTTAAGAATTTTTTTGGGTAATGTACCATTTTAAAATATCTTCCCGAGATACAAATATCGCGTCAAAAATGTTCAACCTTTGACATGGTGGCATAGATTTAAAAAAAATACTAAATGTCTAAATAATATTGTTAATTAAAGTTGAGATTTTAATAACAAATACGCAGCTATTGTCAAATTATTTTAAAACTCATCCGATTCACTCGAAAATCGTTACACGGGGGTTTTCGGGGTCTCTGATTACGAATCTGAAGTCGATTTTCAAAAATTCAAAATGGCGGATCCAATATGACAGACGTCAAAAGTAAAAATTCATTCGATTCACTCGAAAATCGTTACTCGGGGGTTCTCTTTTCGATTCAATCCGATGAATTTTTAATTTTTCGTCCGCCAAATTGGATCTACCATTTTGAATAATAAAATTTTTTAAAATTTGACCTCGGATTCGTAATCAACGACCCCGAAAACCCCTGAGTAACGATTTTTGAGTGAATCCGATGAATTTTTAATTTTAACGTCTGCCATATTGGATCCGCCATTTTGAATTTTTGAAAATCGACTTCAGATTCGTAATCAGAGACCCCGAAAACCCCCGTATAACGATTTTCGAGTGAATCGGATGAGTTTTAAAATAATTTGACAATAGCTGCGTATTTGTTATTAAAATCTCAACTTTAATTAACAATATTATTTATACACGGAAAAAACAAACTAACTATTTTAGCACCAAACTGCTTTATCCTTTATTAGTATGCAATTTCGTTTACCTATTTAAGTATGAAATAATGGTTTTTTAGTTTAAAGTAAGTCCATACTAAATAAGTATAATGGTTATACTCTTTTAGTAATAGTGACGTACTTTAAAAGCATAAAGTTGATGCCCGCGAAGTACGACATATAGTCTACCTAAAATAGCAAGATCTTCTTCCTTTTTGGTGTATAAATTCTTGCAACCTGCGTTTTGGCCTATATCGATATATCAATGGTTGGAAAGAGAGGGAGGCGTGGCCAAAACGCAGGTTGCAAGAATTTATACACCAAAAAGGAAGAAGCTCTTGCTATTTTAGGTAGACTATATGTCGTACTTCGCGGGCATCAACTTTATGCTTTTAAAGTACGTCACTATTACTAAAAGAGTATAACCATTATACTTATTTAGTATGGACTTACTTTAAACTAAAAAACCATTATTTCATACTTTAATAGGTAAACGAAATTGCATACTAATAAAGGATAAAGCAGTTTGGTGCTAAAATAGTTAGTTTGTTTTTTCCGTGTACATTTAGTTTTTTTTAAATCTATGCCACCATGTCAAAGATTGAACATTTTTGACGCGATATTTGTACCTCGGGAAGATATTTTAAAATTGTACATTCCCCAATAAAATTCTTAAGTAAAAAAACCTTGAAAATTCATGTTTTTTTATAAATAATTATCTGTAATTTGTTTAATTTTTAATTTACGGTTTTTTTAGATGCACCACTTGAAAGAGCGATTCCTGGACCATAAGAAACGTATATTGCGAATTTTTTCATAATGCGTTTAGTTGGTTTAAAAAATTGCCAAACTTTAGGCAAAATTTTTGTACATTTGGTCCTTAAAGGGTTAAGAAAAATTGTATCAAATAAAATTCTATGAAATAAAAATTTTAACAAATTAATTTTTGTATACTATTCATGCGTCTCAATTATAGTCACTCCAGTATTATATGTAGGGCATTCCACGGGAAAAAAACAAACTTTTTTATTTGTTAAAAATAAACTAAGTTATGATTTTTTCAAATTTAACATCATCAAAGACAGTGTATTTTTGAAACATATTTTTATCTATTGTACTAATGAATAAAAAATTATTAAATTTGTTCACTTTTTCAAAGATGGACACTCGATTTTTAATTTTTTTGCACTGCAATCTCTGATGACTGAAGAATTTTTTCCCCTATCTAAAAGTGGTGCTTTTAGTTTTTAAATTACTATTTTTAGTTTTATTAGTACAGATCACAGAATTTCAAGCAGTTCTTTTTCCATTTTATCATTCATTTGTTTTTTTTTTAATTTTCAAAAATACATAATTATTATAAATTTTTGCGTCTAGCTTCAAAATTGTAAATAGTAATTTAAAAACTAAAAACACCACTTTTGCAGATAAGGGAAAAAATTCTTCAGTCATCAGAGATTGCAGTGCAAAAAAAAAAAATTAAAAATCAAAAGTGTCCATATTTGAGGAAACTGACTTTTTAAATTTAATTTCAACTTTTTTATTGCTTCCGTTATAGGTACGTAATTTTTAAGCACATATTTGAAAAATTTTAGAAAAAGTGAACAAATTTCATATACAGCATAATTTTTTATTCATTAGTACAATTAGATAAAAAAATGTTTCAAAAATACACTGTCTTTGATGACGTTAAATTTAAAAAAAATCATAACTTCCTTCATTCTTAACAAATAAAAAAATACATGTGCGATTCCAGGTGAGATTTTGAATTTTTCGGAGTTGGTTAACCGATTGTAATGAAACTTTGGAATTTTGTTATATATAGTAAGACTAATCTTTAACGTAAATTTCAGCTTAAAATATTTGTTAGTTTACGAGATTTGCAATAATAACAAAAAATTTTAAACTGCTATATTTTCCGTTCTAATAATCGGATTGAGGTCTACTTTTTTTTAAAATGTCAAGGAAAATGAGAGGAATAAATCTCTCTCAGAACAATTTTTTATAATTTTACGACTAAAAAAATTATTAAATAATAATTGAATAAATTTCACGCGACAATCTAAAATTCAATCACTTAAACGCTAAAATGATCTTACCAGTGTTTTCCTTAATGTTCCAAAGGAATCCAATTGTAAATGCCAGTTTAACTTATTTAATTTTAATAATTTACGAGTATAAACAGTTACGATTTCTGCTAGTTGACGTGCAGACGACATTGCGCACGCAGAATTCTCACGTAGCCAATTTAGTCCACGAATCACGTCAGCTGGTTATAGGAGAATGTTGCGTGCGCAATGTCGTCTGCACGTCAACTAGCAGAAATCGCAATTGTTTATACTCGTAAATTATTAAAATTAAATAAGTTAAACTTGCATTTACTATTGGATTCCTTTGGAACATAAAAGAAAACACTGGTAAGATCATTTTAGCGTTTAAGTGATTGAATTTTAGATTGTCGCTTGAAATTTATTTAATTATTATTTAATAATTTTTTTAGTCGTAAAATAATAAAAAATTGTTTTGAAAGAGATTTATTCCTCTCATTTTCCTTGACATTTTAAAAAAAGTAGACCTCAATCCGATTATTAGAACAGAAGATATAGCAGTTTAAAATTTTTTGTTATTATTGCAAATCTCGTAAACTAACAAATATTTTAAGCTGAAATTTACGTTAAAGATTAGTCTTACTATATATAACAAAATTCCAAAGTTTCATTGCAATCGGTTAACCTACTCCGAAAAAGTCAAAATCTCACCTGGAATCGCACACATATTTTCTTATTTTTCATATTATAAATTTTGAAAAAAAATGTTTTGGGCAAAAAAAAATGTTGAATGAAAATTTCCCGTGGAATTTCCCATATGTTTAGAATATGAACAGTGAATGGAAACGAATGTGTGAATTACAGTAAAGAAAAATATCAAATGATAGGTAAATTTGCAGTACTCCTTCGGAAGTGCAAGTTTTGGTACCTGGCGCTGGTCTTGGTAGACTGGCTTTTGAAATTGCAAGGCGTGGATATACATGTCAGGGAAATGAATTTTCATTGTTCATGCTGTTTGCATCTCACTTCGTACTCAACAAGTAAAATATTCTGACATTTTTTATTAAATTTTTTTTTATTCACTTAATTCTATTATTGTTGTTATTATCAAAATTTAAGTATAATAATTTGATTTTAGATGTAGAGATGTGAATTCTTTTAAAGTACATCCTTGGGTACATCAATACATGAATAATTTAAAACCTGAACATCAAACACAAGCTGTTTTTTTCCCCGATGTTAATCCCAGTGATTTACCTGAAAATGTACAATTTTCCATGACTGCTGGAGATTTTCTTGAGGTAATAAAACCTTATTTATTTTAATTTAAAAAAAAAAATGGAAAATATTTTTTTATTTGTTATCAATATATATACATTTGTTCTTCGCTGTCCCTTTATTTTATTTATTATCTTTTTTAATTAATTTTTTTGACGTTTTCTCTTTTCGCTCTCGCAACTATTTTCACTTGAAAACAAATAATTGATTACACCCCACAATGATTTTTTAAAAAACATATTCTTGTAAAATTTTTTAAGAATGGAATAATAAAAATTCATCATATTATTCGTGTTCAGCACTAAATTGTACTTTAAAAAACAATTGTAAGCTTAAATTTGATGTGTGTTATTAAATTATTATTATTAATTTTAAATTTCATGTTTTAGCTAAAGAAATATTTTAAAGAATTTTTTATTTTCTATTTTCACAGGTATACAAAAAAGATGATAATTGGGACTGTGTAGCTACCTGTTTTTTCATAGACTGTGCAAACAACATTGTTCAATTTATTGAAACAATATATAAAATTTTAAAACCAGGTGGCGTATGGATAAATTTGGGTCCACTTCTTTATCACTTTAGTGACATGCCAATGGAGGATTCAATTGAACCCAGTTACGAAGTTGTCAAAGATGTTATACGAGGCTTAGGTTTTCAATTGGAGGTGAGAAAATTATTATAAAGAAAATAAAAAAATTTAAATAAGTATAAAATATAAAAATTATTATTATTATTTATTATAATAAAATTATTATCACTATTATTATTATTATTATTATTATTATTATTATTATTATTGTTAAGATGGTAAATAGGTGTCTCCTATTAAGTATTTCATTAACCTAATCATATCTGATAAGGTAGAAATTTAATTGACCAATAGTCAAATTTTTATGTACGAAACTCGTATAAATACACTGAGAAAAAAAATTTAGTGTTTGCAACAATATTGCTGGGTTAGGCAATTTTGGTTCTTGTAACCAAATTTTGGTTGGCTGAAACAAAGTCGTAGAATTATCTCAACCAAACATTTGGTTAGGCCAACAAAATTATTTGGTTGGACATTTTTAAATTCCAACCAAAATTCAGTTACGACAACAAAATAATTTGGTTAACACAACAAAATAGTTTGGTCTAAAAAACCAAATGATTGTTTGTTGTCCTAACCAAAATTTAATTGCGACAACCAAATAATTTGATTCGCTCTCAGCTCATAGCTTAAAAGAACAGTTAGTTTAAATATCTCACAAGGATGGGTAGTCCAGTGGTCAGAGCTCTTGATCTTCATTTTTAAAACAAAGGTTCGATCCCAGGCGGAGATGAGATTTTTCAAAGTCCACAAATATTTCAATTTGATAAATATAAATTCAATGTTAAATTGATAATAAATAAATAAAAAAGATAAAAAGAAAAGAAATAAGGTAGAATAAAATTTTTAATTTTACAAAAAAAACTGTTCGTTTGACCAACCAAACATTTTTGTTGACCTAACAAAAAAAATTTGATTGAGCTAACCAAACATTTTTGTTATGCCAACAAAAAACACTCAACCAAATTTTTTGGTTGACTCAAACAAATAGTTTGGTTGCTTAAATACCAACGAAATGTTTTTATTGGCCCAACCCAATTTTGGTTGCTCTGACTAAACATTTTTCTCAGTGTATTTTTTGTACATGGTTTCTGAAAAAAGTGGGTCGTTTCTTATTTTTACATTTTACAAAATTTTTAAACAAAATACATCATTCTTTAATACATAATTAAAAATTTTCATTAGATCTTCTTTATTTCAATTATTTAACAAATTTTTCTCTAAATTAATTATTTTTATTAATTTTAATGGATTTCTTCACAGATTCAATTATATCTTAAATTATTTTTCAATTATAAAAGTTTTATGAAATTCAACAATTGTTCACAATTTTATAAAATCAAACGAAATTACCAAAAATTTCAATTTAAAATCATTTAAAATTTTTCATCTAAAACTTTTTGAAATTTAATAATTTCAATTATAACTCTTCTGAAATTCAATTATTTTTTAATAATTTTTATAATATTCTTCAAAAATTCAATTATCTGAAAGCATTTTTCAATTAAAAAAATTTTTAAATTTAATTTTTGTCTTTAAAATTCAATTAGTGTTTAAAATTTTGTCAATAATTTTCAACAATTCAAATTTACAATAATTTCAATTAATAAATTAATTTTTTTCAATAATATTTTAATAAATTTCTTTGAAAATTTAATTATTTAAAATATTTGCGAAAATTCTGAATTCGAATAATTTTTACAATTACTTGGAATTTTTTCTTCTTTTAAAGTAACTTTAAATTATTATTTTTCAAAATTTGTTCTATTGAATTGAAATCTTGAAAATTTGTCATAGTTTAATTCTGAAGTTTAAAAAAAAAAGTTGATGGAAATGTTCCTGTGAAACATTCTTATTATAGAATTAGAAAAAATTTATTTAATTTCTAATAATTAATGTTAATAATAATGAAATATTTATTAACTAATAAAATTTATTAAAATTAAATAATATCGACTTTTTGGCTTCTTGTTGTAATGATAATAGTATAAAACGACTTCTTTCTCTTTCTAAACTCAATCCGAGGCCTGAATTAGAAAAATTGGAATTCTTTTTTTAAGGAAGTTCTCTCGCAAACAGAAATGACGAAGAGTTAATTATCAAACTTGATAAACTGATAGATAATGGTTTAAAGAAGATGTAGTTAAATTTTTAGAGGTCTAGGTGGATTTTGACAAAAGATATAAATAATTTTCTCTTTTCACATTTAACACGGGTTCTTATGGGAAATTGAATTTTTTGGTCTGAAATCTCAAATTGTGAAAAATCTGACGAAAAGATATTACTGGAACTTTATATACATAAAGTTTAATAGCCAATGTTCACTTACTTTTAATAAAATTGATCAGACCTGGCTTAGGAGACTCACAATTAATTATTTTGTCTAAAAAAACACCGTATTTTGACAATCAGAAATTACTTAGCACAACGCTTGGCAACGTTGCGTCTTGTAGGTTAGGTATAGAAAAAGCGCGAAATTTGAAAGTAATATAAGTAATATATACATATAATAGTATATTCTTCAAAGATTCATAATAATGAATAATAATTTGAATTTGCTTATCAAAAATTAAGATTTTTAAAATAATAAATTATTATTATTATTATTTAACGAAAATAAATCAAACAATAGCAGACGACACGAAACGGAACGGGGGAAATATAATCCAACGTTGTCAAGCGTTGAGCTAGTACTACGTGATACAAATGAAAACTTAAATGGGCATTGATTTGACTGAAGTTGGAGGGGGAGAACTTCCTTAACAGAAAATTTATTTCCAAATTTAATTTAAATAAATTAAAAATTTCAGTTTCTTTGAAAAATATGAATAAAATCAAGTTTTGTATATTTCACAAGACGTTTTTCGATTTGATAAAATAAAAAATTACTTGCATTTTTCAAGTAAAAAAATTAGTTTTTAAATAATTTTGATTCTATGGAAAATTAATTTTAAAATAAGTTTAAAGAATAAAAAGCGTTTATTTATTAGATGTATGCAATTCAAATTTTTATAAAACATTGAAAATGAAATTAAAAAAAAAATTAATTACTATACTGGGAAAATCTCTCTTTTAAATCTCACTTTTCTCTATAAATTTATCATCTTTTAAAAAAATTTGAAAAAAAATTTCGGTTTCTATGCTTTTAATGTTTTCAGATGTTTTTTATTCATCAAGAAAATGGGTGGTCTCAAAATTTTCACCGTGTAATTTAAAATTTTATTTAGTGTAATTTAAAACAACTTTAAAGCATTTTGATTAAGGAAAATATAAATTTAAATTTTACTCTATTTTCCCTCTTTTTTCAAAGAAAATTTCCCCTTTTCCCCTTTTTAATTAGCAAATTTTATGCTGTAAAGCCTGTTGCCGTAATTGAAAAAGAATTGAAAAATTTTCTAACTTGACTTGAACTACTTTTGTCCTAGTTAATCTACCTTAATTAAAAATTTAGGCACATATGAATATTCCCCACGTTAGAATTGTCGAAATTTTTGTTGTGACGAATTAAGAATTATCGAATTTTTACTTAGTAGAATTTTATAAAGTGAACTAGCAAAACTAAACGCGCGCAAGCGCGCCAAATTGAGTATTTAATTGTTTGTTTACAGGCCTCGGATTATACGACTTTTTTCAAAAATACGACTTTTATCGACTTATTTTAATAAAATGCGACATTTTTTTTTACATTTGAAAAAAAATGTAAATAAAATACATTTTTTTTAGTATAAAATGTAGATCATCTTCAGATCTTCTTCAATTCAATTATTTAACAAATTTTGAACTAAAATGATTCTTCACTAAATTAATTATTTTTAATAATTTTAATTAAATACATCACAAATTCAATTATATCAAAATTATTTTTCAATTCAAATTTTTATGAAATTTAACAATTGTTTATAATTTAAAAAAAATATCACAATAAAATTAAATTATTTTTTAAAAATTTCAATTCAAAATAAACTAAAATTCAATTATTACCTGAAATTTTAATTCAAAATCAATTAAAAATCCAATAATTATCAAAAATGTTCAATTTAAAATTTAATTATTTACCAAGTTTTCAATTTAAAATGAAATAAAATTCAATTATTTTCTAAAATTTCTATTCAAAATTAATTATCCAAATTTTCAATCAAAAATGAACTTAAATTAAATTATTATCTAAAATTTCAATTAAAATTCAATTATTTCCCAAAATTTTCAATTCAAAATGAACTGAAATTCAATTATTTTCCAAATTTAAAATCAAATAAAATTTCATTATTCTCAAAAATTTGAATTCAAAATTAATTGAATTTTCAATAATTAAAATTTAAAAGCATCTAAAATTTAATTATTTTTTAAATTTTCCATCGAAATTTTTTTTTTGAAATTTAATAATTTCAATTATAACTCTAAGGAAATTCAATTATTTTTAACTATTTTAATAATATTCTTTGAAAATTCAACTATCTGAAACCATTTTTCAATTAAAAATGATTTTCAAATTATTGTATTTTGTCCGCATTTTCCAATAAATTTTTAGTGAAATCATCTAAAATTTTGATTACAAAACACTTAAAGTTTCAATTAATTTCAAAAATCTCAATTTTAAATCTTTGAAAATTCAATTAAATTTAAAAAATGTTTTCCAAAAATTGTTTGATGAATTATTTTTAGTTCTGTAAAATTTAATAATTGTTTGAAAATTAACAATATCTTTTGAAATTTAATTATTTCTAAAAATTTCAACTTTAACCCTTCGAAAAGGATTATTATTAAAAAAAAAATTTTTATTTAAAGATCTGTAAAATATTTTTGTTGAAATAAAAAACAAATCCACTTTTTTTGGAATATAAATCGACTAAAACGACTTTTTGTGTCTTTAAGTTGATTCGAGGCCTGTGTTTTTATAATTAATATTTAATAAGTATTCGTTGGCCCCTGGTACCTTAAAAATAAATTTTTAAAAATAAATTTTTTTCAAATTACTATCTTGTACGAAATTTCCTGGCGCATCTTTTTTCTCATCATAATTTTTTTGTATTTGTATACAATTTTTGAATGAATATACAACTTTGAAAAAAATGTCGTTGGTAAACGTTGTGTACTTCAGCTTCGTGAATTAAATTTTCGAATTTGGAATTTTAAAGAAACTTATTTCGAAATTTGGAAACACAATTATACAACTTTGGCAAAAATGGGAAAAAGAATTGTCAAAATTTGACACGTCATAAGATTACTATTCAAAAAAACACGTGAAATCAAAAAAGGCCAACTTCAAGTTAGGACAGAAGGACAGACCAAGCATTTTATTATTATAATTTTATAATGAGCCAAATTTTCATATTGAAGAATTTCTATTTAACTAAATTATTTATTATTGAAATAATAATTGTGTTAAATATAAATACAATTAATTAAAATATTGTCAAGTGAATATTTGGATAAATTGAAATTAAATTAAAAAAAAATTAAAATTAAATAAAAGAACAATGCTGTTAATGAAAAACTAATTTTTTATGAAAATTTTGCTATTAGAGATCGAATTCATTTCAAATCAGGCAGGCTAAACATTGTCAGAGCTGAAAATTAATGTTTTCTCCAAAATGTTGTTTTTCAAAGCTTTTTACACGACACGTATTTTTTTTGACTGAAAAAATTTTTTTTTTACAAAGTTATAATAAATTTAGATTTCTAAGTCGTCAAGAAGCAGTGTTTTAATCACTAATTTTACTTATATTTATTAATTGCAGAAAGAAGAAACACATGTGAAATCAAGATACGCCCAAAATTCCAATAGTATGCTTCAATATGAATATAAAAGCGTTTATTTTGTATGTCGAAAACCAAAAAGACATCTTAAAACTGGCGTCAATGGTTTAAATGATAGTAATGGAATTCACGAACAAGAAAACTGATAACTTTTTATACCTTAGTACATTCGTCTATTAGAAAAAAATCAAAAGTCTGTTCTATTGAGTTTGAAAAAAAACATTTGTCTTTCATTTTATTATTTCAACTTTTGTTTTTTTACGAGTTCATTTATAGTTTTCATTTTATTTCGTGTATTACTATTTTTCAGTTGTTTTAAAAAAACAAATGTAATGTAGACCTACTAATGAGTACTCGTATTTTGAATTTCCTGCTCTTCACACACACACACAACTTTTGTACTTTGAACAATGGTTAAAGAAACTCACTTTTTTTTATTATTATTATTTACAGAGAGTTTTGCGACTTTCTTATTAAATATAAAATTTTGTGATTTAATATAATGAATTTACTCAGCTGACTAATTGAGTTTCTTAATTAAGACCATTGTCTCGTTGATAATAATTTATAAGTGTCTTCTACGAAAAACCAGAGGGACGTAAAGTTAATGTAAACTGTATGAAACATTCACATTGATATTGATCAAATCAGCATAAATGATAGTCAATTTTTTTGATACTATTAAATAAACACTAAAATTTGTATATAAAATGTTTAAATTTGAAATGAAAATAAAAAAAAAATTATTAACAATCAATCAGAAAATAAAGTTAATAAATTGAATTATTCATTACTGAAAAAAATTTTCTCATTCTATATCCTTTAACCTTCCAAGCATATACTAGTTTTAGGCGCAAGAATTAATTTTTCTGCTAATTTTTTTTTTTTTCAAAAAATCGTTATTTCTGTGGAGATGCTAAATGACAATTCACTTAGCACCTGCACTATAATTAAAATATAATAAATTTAAAAAAAAAAACCAATACACCATTATTTCGGGCTCTTTTCCGGCTTTGAAAATCAATAATTACTTTAATTTGCTAATTGAACGAAACATTTTTTTGTTCGTTTAATAGGTGTTTTTTGAGTTTTTTTTTTTTTTTTTGCAGAAGACAAAAAAAACTATATGAATAAACAATTTTATTATATCACAAATAAATATACATATATACATATATTATAAACTACTATTTAGATACTGTATAAAAAGAAGGGCTATTTGATCTGGAGCAATCTGTTGCATTTTTGTATATGTTAAAAATTGTCGTCTTAATTTACTAAGTTGAGCAGCGTTACCAGAATTTTTAAGAGTGTGACCATATTTTTGAATTTTAATATCATTTTCAATTCCAATTTGCTTAGCTGCTAATATTTCCTAAAACATTTATAATAACATAATTTTAATTTTAATAACTTATTATTCATAAGCAGCTGTATAATTTCCAGTTACTTACATTTACAATTTCTTGTGTTATTTTATCCATATCGTACAAATAATTTGTTGATGATAAAAGAGGCTGAAAAAATAACAAAATTTGTACATTTTTTAATGCATGAAGAAACATTATTTTAATTTTATGTATTATTATTATTATTATTATTCTTAACAATGAAATTTATTAGCTTACACATTGTGTACTCATATTTGGCTTTGGCGCTTTAACATGAAATAGCGCAGAATAAATATTTTCAAATTGTAATTCATCCTCTGGCAAAACTGCAAACAATGGTGCATCCCAACGATTTTTGCTATCTGGTGCCTCATACCTAATTTTTTTAAAAATATACTTAAATACATTTTTACATTTAAATCAGATACCGCTATGAAAATTTAATTGGTTTAGCTTATGCGCAACGAAAGTAAAAATCTCAATTTATTTTCTTATTTTATTTTTTTTTGTTTGAAAAAACTTTTTTACAAATTAATGTTAAAGTTTAAAAAATTTTCTTCCTGCTTAAAAACAGCGTAACTTTTTAGAGAAGGCGATTATTACGTCAACAATGAAGGAAAATTTTAACGTATTAATCCAGAAACATGGCTATGTGATATGCGGCTGCACGCGTTTCTTTAAAACTTCAATATTTTTTAAACTATTTAATAAATCGTTTTGTAAATTTACAAAAAACTTTATTACACATTGATAAACAAATGTCTCACTGGAAGTTCTTGAAACTCGGAACTTCCCCGCAGACTTTATGTCGGCAAAGGTAAGAAAACATGATTATCAATATGTCCTTAAATAACAATTAAAAATTATTTAACAAATGATGATTTCGAACATTCTTATTATGTTATCCTTTTCTCTATACTTCAATGTGTTAGGATATCAATTCTAAAGTTATTTTATTAATAATTGTCGAAGATATGACAATTTATGTTTTAAAATTGAATGAAATTTAAGAATTAAAATTTGTCAGTTTGTTGTTATTATTAACTAAAATATTCGCTCTACAAAAAAATTTCAAAAAAAAAAGATGCGCTTTAATATTTTATACAAGGTAGTACTTTTTAAAAATAAAAATTTTGAAATTTTTTTTTTCCTATTTTTATGACTACAACTGCTATGAAATTGTCCCTTCCGAGCGAAGAGCGAGTTCTTCTTCCGAGCAGCTCAATTGTTATAATTGAAAACCACCTAATTTTTTTGTATTTGAGATCCAAAAGCAATCACCAGTTCAGTAGTTATTATAAACTAATTATTTTTAATTGTTTAATCAATTTTTATAAAGAATTTGAATGATTTCAGTTTCTAATTATACGAAATTGATTACATATTAAGTGAAATGTGCTATTGGATAAAATATAATATAACATTGGATAAAAAATCATTAAGGTCAGGTCCAAGTGAGGCAGCGCCATCTACATTGAAACTAAAATTTTGGAAAATTTTCAACAGCCTTTTCTTGAAAACAAGAAGGTAAAATGCTTTTTTCTTTATGGATAATTGATTATTGGCAAGATATACACCAGCTAAAACTTTTTTTGAGTTAAAATAATGAAAAAAATTTCATGTCGATAAATTAAATATGAGCACTTTTTTCACAAAAACTGTAACAGTACTTTCTCAGAAATTACAATCAAAAATGCAATTTCCATTTGGAAAATTAATAAACGCTAAAAAATACACGACCTAAGATTTACCAATCACGAAAATAACAAAAAAAAGTATTTTAACATAACAAATTTTACTCATTATGACAGCCGTTTGGCAGGTTATATATGTCACCAGACGTTTCGCAGTTTTGCCGAAAGGAGGAGATTGGCGCTGTTGCTAACCACCTGAAATACATAATCTACCAAAGGGCTGTCACAATCAGTAAAGCAGTATCAATATGTTAAATATTTAATAAAATTTTTTTTTCTTATTTTCGTGATTGGTAAATCTTAGGTCGTGTATTTTTTAGCGTTTATTAATTTTCCAAATGGAAATTGCATTTTTTATTGTAATTTCTGAGAAAGTACTGTTACAGTTTTTTTGAAAAAAGTGCTTATATTTAATTTATTGACATGAAATTTTTTTTATTATTTTAACTCAAAAAAAATTTTAGCTGGTCTATATCTTCCCAATAATCAGTTATCCATAAAGGAAAAAGCATTTTACCATCTTGTTTTCAAGAAAAGGCTGTTGAAAATTTTCCAAAATTTTAGTATCAATGTAGATGGCGCTGCCTCACTTGGACCTGGCCTTAATTAACAAATACACAGTACCGCTGTTTTTACATGTTTTAAATTCAGGTTTTTAAGTTTCTTTAAATATAATGTATTTTTATAATATTTAACAAAATCAATAATTAGTTAAATAATTTTTATATTTTTAATAAAAATTTTTTATCGTCTTTTTTTCAAAATTTTTTTTTTAATTGAAAAAATTTTTAAATTGGAAAATTTAAGGTGGTATATAATAAAATTGTCTTCCTTACATCAAGACGAATCGACTGATATGTAGTGCGATTCTAGGTGAGATTTTGACTTTTTCGGAGTAGGTTACCCGATTTCAATGAAACTTTGGAATTTTGTTATATATAGTAAGACTAATCTTTAACGTAAATTTCAGCTTAAAATATTTGTTAGTTTACGAGATTTGCAATAATAACACAAAATTTTAAACAGCTATATCTTCCGTTCTAATAATCGGATTGAGGTCTACTTTTTTTAAAATGTCAAGGAAAATTCACTCAAAAGTATGAAATTCTAATTTTATGTGTTTAGAGTTCAATATTAGAAATGGGGGTGGTTTTTGAGTAAGAGGTTAGGAGCACAAAATTTGAGAATACGAAATTTAAGTAAATGTTATGTTGGTTTACACGATTATTTACACAAAAGAATGAAATTCTATTTTGAGAATCAAATTTTTATGAGTTTAGAGTTGAATTTTAGAAAGAGGGTGTTATGTACCTTGACAATTTTTTTTACTCAAATGGATCAAAATCTAAATTTTATTGTAACGTTTTTTTTAGGGTTTTTTGATTCCTGTTATTTTACTACGTCTTGCTAGCACCTCATTCTTAAAAGTAAAAAAAAAATTATTTCTTGATGAGCACAAAATTTTTTAATTAGGCACAAAATTAGCACATAATTCTAGCATATTTTATTTTTTGATTAATACTTGTGGAGGTGCTAGCTGGACGGACGTAAATTCGGATAAGTGAAACTTCGGTCAAATAAAGTATCGGTGAAATAGAAATTCTCTGTCTTAAAAATTTAGCTAAGAAGAATTTCTGTTAAATGACAATACTATTAAATAAAAACTAGATTGAACATGAATTTCTTGAATAAAACTTTTGTTAAATAAGAATTTTGTTGTATAAAAATTCTTTTAGTTGGAAATTTTGTCAATAAAAATACTTTTTAAGTGAATATTCGGATAAATAGAAATTCGACAAAAGAACAATTCTGATAAATAAAAATTCTTTTTTATGAAAATTTTTCTAGATATCAATTTTATTAAATGGAAATTGTTTTATTTGAAAATTCGATATATTAGAAAATCTGCTTTATCAAAGTTCAGTTAAATAGAAATTCTACAAAATCAGAATTTTGTTTAATAGAAATTTTTAATTATTAAAATTGGGCTCATTATAAAATCTCTTTTGCTTCCTCGTGGAGGAAGCTTTGTAGTCCTTTCGTTTATAAAAATGTTCAAAGTGTCGGAAACAAATTTTTTTCTATATAGAAACATGTTATATGAGATCCTGATCAATTGTCCGGATGTATGTATGTGTGTGTGGATCCCTTTTTTGTTTAGAAGATAACTTTAACAGGTTCTAATGGATTTAGATAAAATTTGGTAGGCTCATTTATCATATTAATATCTCAAATCTGACCAAAGGATTTTTAAAATTACCCAAGAAAAAAAATTTTATCGTCTTTTTTCCAAAAAAAAAATTCATTTCGGCAATAAAATTTTGTGATTTTTAAAATTGAAGTTTATATATGAAATAATTGTATTCCTTGCATGAAAATGAATCGATTGGTATATGGGGCATTCTATTTTAAAATTATACCCCTAGTAAACAATTGACAATATAAGACATTTTTTAAATAATTATTTCTCCCATTTAATTAAATCAAATTACTTTTGCAATGAGTGGTTTCGAAAGAAAAATTTCTAAACTTTACAATTGTAAAAAAATTTTTTCAAAAAAACATTTAAATAGTATAAAAAATTTAGTTTGAAGGTTAAACTTGTAAATATCTCAAAACACGTTGTTTCCGATTTTGACAAAATCTATGTCAAAAGAAAGCTTAAATATTCTATTTTTTATTTCCGTAAAGTTTATAATGGACATTTTCGAGAATTTCCAGAAATTAATTAAAATTCTCAGACGTTTCGGAGGTTAAAAAGGATTGAAATTTGTATGAATGGAGAACCATTTCTTTAAGAGCGGATTTTGTTTTTTAAATTTAATTTCCATTAACCTTACATTATTACATCACTTGACATTAGAGAAAAAAAATATTGTAAACAATAAATATATTGATCTTTAGCTATTTGCAATTAAAAATTTTTCAAATTTAAAAAAATTATTAAGATTAAAATTGAAGTTTTAAAATTTATTTATTTAAAAATTTCGTAAAAACAAATGCCGCTGTATTTGAACAGAGGTTCTCTATTCATGCAAATTTCAACCCTTTTTAACCTTTGAAACGTCTGAGAATTTTAATTAATTTCTCGAAATCCTCGAAAATGTCCATTATAAACTTTACGGAAATAAAAAATAGAATATTTAAGCTTTCTTTTGACATAGATTTTGTCAAAATCGGAGACAACGTGTTTTGTGATATTTACAAGTTTAACCTTCAAACTAAATTTTTTATACTATTTAAATGTTTTTTTGAAAAAATTTTTTTTACAATAATAAAGTTTAGAAATTTCTCTTTCGAAACCACTCATTGCAAAAGTAATTTGATTTAATTAAATGGGAGAAATAATTATTTAAAAAATGTCTTATATTGTCAATTGTTTACTAGGGGTATAATTTTAAAATAGAATGCCCCATATATAAGGGTCAAACCATTATATTTCAACTAAAGTGGTCGCTGACTAATTTTTAAAAATTATAATACTTTGCAGGAATGATTTTGAAGTTATCAAGATCACGAAATGAAAAGAATTTTATTAAAAATTTAAATATTTATTGTAAAATATGAATTTAAAGTATATGAGGTGCTAAAAACTGTCAATTTTTTAGCCATTAGAAAATATGCAAAAAAACATAGAATTTACCATAAAAATAAAAAAAAATTATTGGAATTTACTAAGAATGAATAAATTTATCATTATCAATTGATATAATTATTTAAAGATGTGAAGTAATATATAAAATATGATTTCCAAGTGCACCTGTCAAATAACCTAATTTTGCGATTTTTATTCATTAATTATAAAAAATAGAAAACATTAAATTAAATAAAAACTTACCAAATATGAAGTTCTTGCCATAAACTTTTAGAATTTCTTTGCACTTTTCTTCTTTTCTATTCATAAGTATGAAAAATTTTAAAAATAAAATAGCTATTTTGTCTATTTTCACTATTTTTGAAAGTCAATAACTTTCTTGGAGAAAAGTGAAAAAATATGGGGTTTCGAAAATTATTTAAATACACACTACATATACATTCACTGAAAATTTCGCATTGGTCCCGAAGCTATTTTCGAAGATAAAGTAAATTAAAAATTTCGTATTTTTTAGGCTATATTGACATGGGTTTTAAAGGTATTAAATCAATGTGAAGTTTGTCGTCACCAGTGAACCACCTTCACATTGATTTAAAATCCATGTCCATATAGCCTAAAAAATACGAAATTTTTAATTTACTTTATCTTCGAAAATAGCTTCGGGACCAATGCGAAATTTTCAGTGAATGTATATGTAGTGTGTATTTAAATAATTTTCGAAACCCCATATTTTTTCATTTTTCTCCAAGAAAGTTATTGACTTTCAAAAATAGTGAAAATAGACAAAGTAGCTATTTTATTTTTAAAATTTTTCATACTTATGAATAGAAAAGAAGAAAAGTGCAAAGAAATTCTAAAAGTTTATGGCAAGAACTTCATATTTGGTAAGTTTTTATTTAATTTAATGTTTTCTATTTTTTATAATTAATGAATAAAAATCGCAAAATTAGGTTATTTGACAGGTGCACTTGGAAATCATATTTTATATATTACTTCACATCTTTAAATAATTATATCAATTGATAATGATAAATTTATTCATTCTTAGTAAATTCCAATAATTTTTTTTTATTTTTATGGTAAATTCTATGTTTTTTTGCATATTTTCTAATGGCTAAAAAATTGACAGTTTTTAGCACCTCATATACTTTAAATTCATATTTTACAATAAATATTTAAATTTTTAATAAAATTCTTTTCATTTCGTGATCTTGATAACTTCAAAATCATTCCTGCAAAGTATTATAATTTTTAAAAATTAGTCAGCGACCACTTTAGTTGAAATATAATGGTTTGACCCATAAAGTATACATTTGAGGTAAATTTAATAAATTAATGAAAGTTAAAAAAAAAAATTCCCATTTTAGCTGAAAAATTTTGTATTTATTTAAATTTAAGTTTAAATATAAAATAATTGTGTTCCTTGCATTGAAAGAAACCGATATAATTGTAAATAATTATAAATTATATATTATTTTCCATTAATATTTAAAAATTTCAGCTAAATTGTGAATTTTTGATTTTTTAACTTCCATTAATTCTTTAAATTTAACTCAAATCTATAGGTACTCAAATGTTTATATTATTATATTATTTTTGCATGTTTATTTCATTGATAATGCTTTCTCCACGAGGAAGCAAATTTTTTTGCTGATCGTAAAGAGGAAGCAAAATGTTCATGTAATGAACATCTGAATTTACAACTTGTTTAAAATTTTACTAAATGTAAATTCGATAATTTTGCTTCCTCGTGGAGGAAGCTATGTAGTCCTTTCGTTTATAAACTTTTTAAAAATGGTGAAAACAAATTTTCCTGTATATAGAAACATGTTATATGAGATCCTGATCAATTGTCCGGATGTATGTATGTGTGTGTGTGTATGTGTGTGTGTGTATGTGTGTGTGTGTATGTATGTGTGTGTGGATCGTTTTTATGAACACGATATCTTTAACAGGTTTTAATGGATTTGGATAAAATTTGGTAGGCTTATTTAACACATTAATCTCTCAAAAATGACGAGAGGATTTTTAAAAATACCCCAAAAAAAAAATTTTATCGTCTTTTTTCCAAAAAATTTTTTTTAATTGAAAAAATGTTTAAATCGAAAAATTTAAGGTAATATATAATATAATCGTCTTCTTTATGTCAAGATGAATCGATTGATATATATAAAGTATAGATTTGATTGAAATTTAAAGAATTAAAGAAAGTTAAAAAATCAAAAATTCTCATTTTAGCTAAAAAATGATGTGTTTATTTAAATTCATGTTTATATATGAAATAATTTTATTCCCTACATTGAAACGAATTGGTTGGTATATATAAAGTATAGATTTGATTTAAAATTTGAGAATTAATAAAAATTGAAAAATCGAAAATTCATATTTTAGCTAAAAAATTTTGTGTTTTTTTTAAATTCAAGTTGATGAATAAAATAATTGTATTCCTTGCATTAAAATGAATCGATTCGTATATATAAAGTTTATGTTACACTCAAAATTAATTAAAATTTTCTTTATTTTTCAAAAAATTTAATTAATTTAAAACATTTTTAATTCGAAAGTTTTTAAATCAATCAATTGAATTGGACAAATTCATTGCTTCCTTCACGAGGAAGCGAATTTTTTGCTTCACACAATGAGGAAGCATAATGTTTATGAAATAAACATAAAGGACCCCTACTTGTTTAATTTGACACTACAAAAATTCCATCAAGTCTAATGAAGGGAATATTCATACGTCCCTGATTTTCTTTTTTTTAAAAAAAACAAGAGAAATGAAAAATATCCATATATATTTTAAAAATACCTCATAACAAGGGCATCAAAAATTTCTCTCGTATATTGTTCTGATTCTGATCGTTTTTCATTCCACAGCCAAGCATGTTCAACAGGTAAATCACATTGAACGGTACATTGAGGTGTTTTATATAATTTACAGAGACAATAAATTTCATATCGACATCCTTTGATATAATTACTACCGTCAATTATCAAAACATCTTTGCTATTTAAACAACGTTGAACATCTGATTTTATGTCTGCTCGAACGCCTTTTTCATTTTTTGATTCTAAAATTAATAAATAATGACAAAACTCTGAAAATTTCTTGAAAAAAAAAAAAATGAATTTGTTGGTGTGCGATAGTTTATATTATAACATAGAAAAATATTAATAAAGAAAAAATTTTGAAACTAACCTGCAAAGTATGTGTTTTTATTATAACCAACTTTTTGCATTGCTTCTTCTTCGCTAATTACAGTTACTGTCAATTGTTTAGTCTCAAAGAATTGTTTTAGTTCTAACGTTCTTTTTGTTTTTCCACTACATGGAAGACCGGTTATAACAATTAAAGGCATTTTTTTTTATTTCTCCACAATTTAGTTGATTTTTTGGTTACAAATAAATATATATATATATAACTCACAAGTGACATGTGAGCCACTGTGTTTACATATACAGCACGGTTGTGCACGGAAGTCTAAAATAAACTAGACCAGAGATGGATAAAGTAGAACGCCCCAAATGTTGTGTATTCTTTGAAATGTGACACTTTACCTATTTCCCACCTCTGTTCTCGATTCTTCTTTCGAGAATCAATATTCGATTCTTCTTTAAAGCCCAACGCACAATTTAACAAGGAACGCGTAAGTATATATCTATCCTTTTCTGTTTCATATATGACAAAGGTTCGAAAAACTATTATGCTTATCATTATTGGTTTTGAAATCGAAAAGTAACGTTCAAAATAACCTAGAGTAGCTTATAATTTTCACAAGTTAACCTACGGAAGTGAGAATCTCCGATTTTAATGAAACTTGGTATGAATGTAGTACTCGGAAAAATAAGAGACCCGTATTTTTTTTATATCTGCCATGATCCACTTTAAAGGGTAGAAATCACCCCTTGAAGTTATAGGGGTGTAATGTCATAATTAGAGCTTGTGGTCAAACTATAGACCTTTTCATGCTGATCATTCTGTCCTCTTCCAACTCATTCGTCATTGTATGCGCTAGATAAGGACAGAACGATCAGCATGAAAAGGTCTATTACTAGTAGCTAAACAGTGAATACCGCAATGAAAACATTAGAAATACAGTTCATTTTCCATAGAAAAATATTTAATAAATTCAATTGTTTAAACAATTACTTGAGATCAACAAAAATCTTGAAATCTAATAACGCCATTCGATTCTTATCTTTTTGTCGAAGCGAAGTTCTTATTAGTTATAAAATTGTTTATTTAATTTTTTTATGTAAAATGAAATTTAAAAAAAATTTTGCAAGGCACAGTTTCGTCGTAATTTTTTCCATAGAATCGAATGGCGTCATTAGATTTCAAGATTTTTGTTGATCTCAATTGTTTAAACAATTGAATTTATTAAATATTTTTCTATGGAAAATTAACTGTATTTCTAATGTTTTCATTGCGGTATTCACTGTTTAGCTACTAGTAATAGTTTGACCACAAGCTCTAATAATGACATTACACCCCTATAACTTCAAGGGGTGATTTCTACCCTTTAAAGTGGATCATGGCAGATATAAAAAAATACGGGTCTCTTATTTTTTCGAGTACTACATTCATACCAAGTTTCATTAAAATCGGAAATTCTCACTTCCGTAGGTTTACTTGTCAATAGTTTTTGGATTTCTTTTCTTTTTTTAAATAATCTATATTAAATTTGTAAAAGATCTGAGGAGCTCGATTTTCGATTTGTAATAATTATTTATATTGTTACAAACAAATGAAACAAGTTGACGTGGGAGTCTTTTAAGGGGCGATTTCACTTTCCCATATTTAGACTGAACATTTGTTAATTTTATCAGTTAAATTGTACATTTTAATACTGTACATTGGGAATATTAATTTTTAACTCTATATTTTGAAATTGAACGAACTAAAATGCATACAAAAAATTAAATGAAAAATTGTTAAATTCTGCATCATTAAATTGGTTATAGTCAAACTGTAAACATGATAAAATAATTAAAAAGTAATAACTTTAAACTCTACACGAACAAATTCTACACATTTTTATTAGTTTTTAATTTTTTTATTGTACACACGTTTCGATTCTACAGTAACGAAAATCAGTAAAAAAAAATTTAATAAAAAAATTGCACATTTCTACACCGTTATACACACGGAAAAAAGAGGTTTGGTAAATATAAGTAAACTGAGTTCGGTTGACTGTAGAGCAGTTGTTGAAACCAAATGAATAGTTGTCTTAACCTAAGTGGTTCGGTTGTTAGAACTAAACTCGAATGGTTGTTTCAGTTCGGTTATTTTAACCGAAGTTTGGTTATAACAAACAAACACTTTCCAACAAAACGATTTATGTCATCCCCACTACTTTAAAAGTGGGACTTAGAAAATTTTTATGGTACTCCTTAACTTGAAATCGGACCGTCACCATCTGGAAGCAATTCAGACTTTATCCTTAGCACGCCGGGGATCGCCTGACCGGCCGATGTTTGATTTTTAAGACATTTTTTTTGCAAGGGTTTTATAAATCAATGCTTTTCTTCAAACATTGAAAAATTCGAAATGCGACGTTGCCAAATACTTTTTTTCAATCTAAAAGTTTTCATTTTGCCTTTTAGGCATGAAAACGCTTCAGTTGCAAGGATTTACTCCTGGAGTAACGGCAAATTGTTTTAATTTGTTCGTCAACACAAAAAAGCTTGTATTTTTTGTGAATTAATTAATTTAATTTCAATTAATTCATTTCTTTATTTTAAAGACTAATTGTTTAAAATATTAGTAAGCTTTTAGTTAGCTATACCAAACCATTTTTTGAGTGCACTACCCACACAGCACATGAGATTTCCTAAATATTTCATTGAAATTTTGAAATATTCCAATGCAAAGTCCTTGAAATATTGATGAAATTAGGAAAATGTCCACCTATAAGAAATATTGCCGTGTAATTTTGCTGAAATATTTCATTAAAATATTATAGAAAAATTCCAACTTAAATATGACACGAACTGGTCGATCTCAGTTTCTATGGCCTGTACAGCTGCGCCCCGGACAGCACCGAAACTTTCCTGAACCTTGACTGAACCTCGCTTGACGCATAATAAAGGTCAGTCACAGAGGTTGATGGCTGAATATTGGATTTGAATTTCTGTTAAATATTAAAATTAAAGATTTGTTAAATGTAATCGTTAAATATTCTGGAAATTTAGAAGGAGCATAAATACGGAAAAATAAAAAGAAAGCAAATGAATTTAAAAAACTATTGAAAATTGCATTTTCTATGACATGGGAAAGCATAAATAAAACAAAAATTAATAGACAATCATAAATACAGTTATATTTATTAGTAGTTACATAAAAATTAAATTTTTAAAGGTTTTTTGAGAGTCTACAGGCACATTTCATGTGCTAATAAAAAATTAAAATTAATTGCAAATTTTATTAAAACGAGTTATCAGAATTTTTTTGGCAGAAATCCTAGTAAATATTCTCAACAATAATTTTATTGAGCCAAAAAAAATTCATCCAAAAGAATTTTCTGAGCAAATCATTACGAAAATGCATTTTTTTTTGTTTATAGTACAAATTTTGCAATAATCAAAATTTTCTTTTTAAGTAAATCGTTCATTTATTTGAGTTTTTGTTTCACCACACATTGTAGACAACATTTCTATTTGAAAATATTTCTTGTCAAAAGAGTTAAACACTATTTGTAATTTAATGTAATAATAATTTATTACTAATAAATATAACTGTATTTATGTTTTATACCGGTAAATCATATATTGTAAAACTTGTGAAAAGTGTACAATGAAGAAAATAAATCTATCTATCTATAACTGTATTTATGATTGTCTATTAATTTCTGTTTTATTTATGCTTTCCCATGTCATAGAAAATGCAATTTTCAATAGTTTTTTAAATTCATTTGCTTTCTTTTTATTTTTCCGTATTTATGCTCCTTCTAAATTTCCAGAATATTTAACGATTACATTTAACAAATCTTGAATTTTTAATTTCCTTAAATATTCCCTCACAATATGCCAAGAATCTTTAATTTTAATATTTAACAGAAATTCAAATCCAATATTCAGCCATCAACCTCTGTGACTGACCTTTATTATGCGCGGACATTTAAACATTAACTCAACTTCGTTTGGACCTCGCGACTCAAGTTCCCGAACCTCGTCAAGCGAGGTTCAGTCAAGGTTCAGGGAAGTTTCGGTGCTGTTCGGGACACTAACAGAAAAAACTATATATTACAAAACACTTAGAAGAAAAAAAAATCTTTCCTGTTTGATTCAACACTATTCTTATTCCTATTATTATTAACATCTGCGCATGTGCGTATATCATTCTCCCGATAGCACCCGATTAAAAACAATTGAAAAAGTCTAACTTATTTTACACGATTGAAAACAATTCGAATCATTTGAAAAAATATATTCTCCAATTGGAAACAATTCAAAACAATTAAGAAATCTTTATACTAATATAATATAACTAATATAATTTAATTAAAAAATAAAAATATTTTATTGTGTTTTTCGTGTAGAATCCCGGTAAGAAGCGAGGAATAGAGAAAGATTGAAATTTTGCATATATTAAGCATCCCGTGTGGAAAAAGCCACGATCTTACCCTCAAGAGTTCGGGGCCCCCGGCGGGGGCCCATGAGGGCTGATCCATATGGCGAATCCATGAGGGGCAACGTAGGGGCCACGCATGGATCGCCCTCATGATCGATTAGCAAAATTTTCTAAGTCCAAAATTCAAATATTTTTTCGTCAACAAAAAATGAATGTTTCCAATGATTCAAAACAACGAAAAACGCGTTTTTAATAAAAATATATTTACACTTTTTTTGAAAATTCACCTGAGATGATTCATGATAATAATCATAAAGCATATAATTACTTATATTTTATAAATTGCATTTGATTGGGAAATATAATTTAATATCTTAACTTTAACTTAATGATGTTAAGCACTTTTCTTTGTTAGGTATTTTTTAAGTTTAAATAGCATCAAGAAGTTAGCATTCGTTTTGAAGTAGCGTGCGTAACGTAGTTGGTAAAGCGTTAGACTCATAGTCCGTAGGTCGTAGGTTCGATTCCCCCCATGCGTTAGATTTATTTATTTCTCAGGTTTGCGTTTAATCATTAATTCTATGTATGATTTAATTGAAAAATGAAAATATCCGTTAATAGTATGCATAAATTACATATTTTTTAATTAATTAATTTATTATTACTTTTAATTATATCCGACAGTTAATTAATTAGAACGTTAATTAATAAATTCAATTTGAGTAAGAATTTAATTTAAAATTGAATAATTATTAAATAAATATGTTATTTATTCATAACTTAAGCTTATTTATTATTAATTAACTTTTATTATTAATATTATTGATTAAAAAACATTATGTCAAACTTGAGGGCAAACGTGAGGGCCCATAAGGGCGCCCTCATGGATCG